TGAATATATATATATATATATATATATATATATATATATATATATATATATACCTCCCTAAATTCATAAATACAATCCATTCAGTACATTCAATGTTCCTTGTATGTATATGATTTCAGTGCTGACCATTTGGTAACAAATTTAGGAAGACCTTACCTGCCTGAAGATGATCATTTCTCATGCTTTCAGAATTTCTTAGCTGCCCATTGTTCTTTGTCTAGGGTTAAAGAACAAATGTAATTTTCCCATTTATTGTGACATATAGTAGTGTTTTCTGCCTAAAATATTATCTCATTTAATGTTTTGGTCTTCAATTAAAAAACAAAGCCATTGAAAGAAGTTGTTTCCAGTACCCATGGCTAGTGAAATCATGTATCTTAAGGACAGCCTATAATATCTTCTTTCCTAAATGAGCACAATCCCTCACTACCTTCTGAACATTTATCCCTATACCCATAAACAAGTGTAGTCCTCATCCCTCTTAAAGGAAACTTTTCTTTGCAATAGACAGAGGTTATCACAGAAAACCACAATACGTCAATATGCAGAATTGTGGAGATCAGTCTGAATCTGCTACACAAACCCTGCACCCAAGGCTCAGGAGTTATCACGGACGAGGTCACTGAAAGACTGTATCAGCCAGAGGATCATGGGGATTGCTTTGAGACTGTCCCTTAGTAATGCCAAAAGCAACATCCATAAAGTCTCTCTGATATGCCTGCCTAAGCATGAGGTGAGGAGGGATTACAACAATAGACTGAGGGAAGCCTATGATTTCTCAACTTTTACAAAGAGCTAAAGACGACAAATAAGGAAATAGTCTTCCGCAAAGAAAGGCATACCAATTGTTTTTCCAATACCACCAAATGGTCAACCCAGAAAGTATACATACAAGTAGCATTATGCACAGGGAAAAGTTTATATGTATTTGGAACATACATACATACATATGTACATACATACATACATATATATATATATACATACTATATATGTGCATTTATCTATATGTCAATGTGTATTAAAATAATTAATGAAAAAGTGGACACGAATGTAAAACTAAGCAATGCAAGGTATATGTGAGGGGTTGTGGGAAGAAAGAAGGGGAATTATGTAATGATAATCTCAAAATATAAAAAAGTAATTAAGAAACTCAGTAAGAGAAATAAAAAAGAGTATTTTGCATGACATTGCCTGATAGAAAGGATTTCTGGCCAGTCTGACCATGGCTAGTCTTCTTTTCCACAGATACGAAGCAGTTCTTTCAGGGAAAACCTGTTATGGTGTAAACTAGAAGTTCATTCTAAAATGTATGTATGTGGAAAAAATAGACACATTTTTCATAACATTTTTTGGTATTATTTTCCATCAAAGCATTTATGGTGCATTCGGGCCAAGTTACTGCTTTGCCTTGTGATGTCAGGGTCCTTTCTCTGATGCTTTGGTAGAGTTCATAATTGTCTCTGGCTTTGAATACCAGACAGGCTGATCACTTCAGCTATCCAAAAATACCATTTATTCTCCCTTAACTGATACCTTCTTCTCATGTCTCTCCCAATTGCCTCATTGTCTTCCTAGTTCTTTTTTTCCACAATTAAAACCGTTTAATTATGGAAGGGCAGGGAATACCTTATATGAGCATAACATCCAGCTTGAGGCAAAGGGTTCATCTAAGAGACAAGCTATAAAAGTCAAAGCAACTCTAGTCATAAACAATGCTCTTCTGCACAGACCTCAAATAGCTCAGGAAACAACAAAATATGACAAGTGGGAATGTATCAAAAATTAAACCTTTAAAGAACTGAAAACATTTCCTGTTTGAAACATCTATTCTTTGCCGTATTTACACTGACTGTCCAGTTGATCTACCTCTGGGTATTCCCCTCCTTTGCTGTGCCTTACAGGCCCTTGTCCATCCACTGCCTCTTGCTTAGATGGTTTGGTCTCTCTGTGGATGTCTTTCTTCTAAATTATGTTGTTAGAACGATGGACTTATAAGTTTAAAATATGTTCACTTCCTAATGCTCTTAAATTTGAAAAATTTGTAGTCTGCTTTCTGTTGACTGGTCCTGCTTACTGGCCTCAGCTCACCTTGTGTTCTCTCTGCAGTGTGTGAGCTCCTTCTGCATTCTTTATGTTCCTTTATGAAATCAGATGATCCCTGACTTGTGGACTTTGAACTAAATGCTTTTATTTTCTTTCTTGAATGTTCTTAACTTAATTTCTGGTCTACTTTTGGCATCAGCTCTTATGCCCTATCTTTAAAGAAATTTTTCTTGGCATCTCGAAGGTCCAAAATATGGCTCGGCCGCTTATCAGTTTTCTGATGTCTCCACTTATTTTTCTCCGGAAGACATTTCTTTCTTGATTGATGACACCCTGGAAATGTTTCTGAGTTTGCAAAATATGTGCAAGATAAAATATCATGAGTTAGAAAAAAATGAAGGAGAACAAAATAAATAGTGTTTTTTTTTTTTAATCTTCATTTCAGTTACAACCAAAATAGTTAATAGTAAAAGACAATTTGTTGGCTTTTCTTCCTCCCTCACAGGTCACACTTTAAGATGAGCTACAAATACTGAAAACATGTACTTAAACTTTTTAGATTTTTTTTTTTGTTTTAATTTGAGATGTGTGGGTTTTGGTAGGCTGTAGCAAGACTGATGTTTATTATCATTTTTATTGAATATCATAAAACACATTGTGGCCACACTTTTCACATAGAAAGGTAGTGAAGCTTAGATATATTTCTACAACTTTTCTTTTTTTAAAAAAAGTCTAGCTCTCAAATTCATTTTGTAATCCACGATGACCTTTGACTTGTTTTAACCTGTCTCCAGAGTGCTAGCATTATAGACACATGCCACCACAGCGGGTATATTTATTTTCTTTCAAACATTTATCCTAGTTAATTAGTAGTTAAATAACTGTTACTCATTCAGGTCATTGGATTGTAAGTCCCTTCTGGTTACAGAATAGGGTTTAGAACTCCGTGCCCTTACATAAGTGTTCTGAAATGACTGGGTTCCTACTTTATTAACTTCTTTCTTCAGTGATAACATGTCTAATTATATAAAAAAATCCTAGAATGTTTTCATTTTCTTACTGCCTCAAAATTAAGGCAAATAGCAAAAATATATTTATATCCCTACAGCTTGCAAGTACAGAGAACTTACAAGCTGTAGGGATATACAAATCTTTGGGTTTTTCTAGCCTAACGCACTCGTTTGTAAACACTGAAGTTGGACAGACCAGACAGCTGCTCTTGATGTTTCAATGTTATCAAAGTTGAGGCACACTACAGCATTGTGGCCATGGAGAATCAAGGACAATGCTGTAAAGATGATGTCTGAAAACAGAATGTTGAGCCAAAATCATCTCTTTTTAAGATATAATAAAGAAATAGCATATTGATCGTATATATTTAATTTTAGAACATGTTCTCTTTGCATTGTTAATTTTACTTCTCATGTGAAAATTTTAAATTGATAATTAAAATATTTATATTTTATAACTTAATATTGTTAGGATTAAATGATATAGATATGGGTAAACTCTTTCAAATTTTCCAAAATTAATGTCATAACAATAATGTTCACTAAGCCGCTCTTTGCACAAATCATGATTTCCAGTAAATTGCTTCAGTTTAGAGTGTGTTATTGTCCTTCTGAAATTGTTCTTTGAACAAATAACATTAATTAGGAAAATAATTTCATTTTCCAGTTAAATGAATTCTTTAACTAGGTGACCATATCCAGAGGTGTTTATTATTTGATCTTAACTTATACATTTAGACTAGTATGATCCAGTTGGTACTTCTTAAGCTCCCTCATTACTGAAGGCTACTCTTGTAAATAAGTATCTTTGAGCAATATTCCATGAGATAGATGTAAAACCATTATTCATCAATTAGAAATTAGGGCCTTTTCAGCTGATTTAAGCAGAGAGTATTATGAAAGCAACCACCCATTTTTCTGACAGTTTCTTGTTGATGGACATATAAGAATATTTTGATTAAAATTCAGGTTAAATGAACATATGCATGGAAGTTAGAGTCATTTTTTCTTGACTTTTTGCCACTCTTCAAGGTGTGCTATTGGTGAAATTATTAAGGCCACTCCACATAGTTAAAAGGGGGATTTATTTAATGACATAACTTACAAATGAAGGGATAGGTAGGTTGCAGGTTCTGAGAAAGTTGCAGAGTAGTCCAGTGGTGTTCTCTGGAGAACTCTCCTCGGTCTACCTCTAGCATCCAGGGTCCAAGCAGGAAGAGAGTGCAGTGCATCCTGATTTGGGGTCTTCAGGCCCCTCCCTTGGCCTTGCCTTTTAGGAGTGATAGTTACTGAAGCCTCAATGGGGGTTGGAACTTCCAGACCAACCCTGGAATGGCTACCCACTACATCTCCCCCTTTTTGTCTAAATAAGAAGGTTCTAACTTAATACAAGACTATATACAGAGGAATGGTTATCAAATATTGTCCAGGAGTAATGAGGGATACTGACCTAGATAAGATGGAACTACAATCAATGCGAACAATATCAAGCAAGAAACACATACTAAAATCCAGAAAGTCTAGAACATAGATAAATGGTATGTTACAAAGATCATTCCAAAAGGTATCCTATCCTAAAGAACCTGAATCTAATACTTAATATGTTCTATCTAAGGTAATATATACATATATATATATGTATATATATACATACATATACATATATATATATATACATACATACATACATATACATATATATATATAAAGTTGTAACTATAACTGCTAGTCTTCAATCCCATCAAAGACCTGAGTTGAAATATATGTATATGTATATTATAACAAATATATTTTGTATTTGTATCAATATACAAATTATCTTAAACAGGAATATAAAAATACTTTTCATTTGTATCAACATATAAAAATCCATAACAGTGCAAATTATCTAAGGTTGCTATTTTACTAAATTTGTTTACTAGTATATGCAATAATCTACCAGAATATCTTATACCCATCCATTCCATTTCTTCTTTTACCTTTTTTAGGAGAATACTGAGTCTAATATTTTCTTCTACCCCCAAACCTATAACCATCATCCATAACCCTGAGAAATATGTGCAGAAGTGTATTAAGTCCTACATTTCCCTCTATTGTTCATGACTGAATTTGAACCATTGTCCTTATTTGATTTTCAGAGAATGATGACCAGAGACTATTG